AATAAAGTAGCGTTATTTTTGTCTCGTTGGTCTACAAAATTGACAGTGATGACGCAAGCAACACATTCTTATTGTCATGTCAAGGTCATCAGCACTTCTTTATTTCTCAGAATGATTCACCCTTCAATATCATTTTTCAAATTTTTTTTTCATTTTCCGCATGTCAAGGACGCAGTAAAGCAGAATAAAGGATAGAGAGTTCCCAGAATAAAGGGATAGAGAGTTTCTTCTTCTGTATTGCACCAATAATCCCTCAGTTAATTCTGATAAGATCCAACAACTCGTCAATTTAGGGTTTCTTAGGGCTGACACTCTCTACTGATATGATAAGCGTCTTGACGCAAGCCAGTTCTCTTCCAAATATTTTCCTATAAACAACTCCCACTTGTGGAAAATATCTCTTCAGACCCTTTCCCCTGCCTTTTTTGAAAATAAAATTGAAATATATATTGTGCTAGTATTTTATGGATGGTGACCACGACGACGGCGACGTCAAACAGCTGATTCACTTCGCCATCGACTGGTGATGATCAATCCCGACGACGTCGCTGAGCAAACATAGACCTCCCCCCCCTTCCCCTTCCCCGTCCTCCGAAGGCCAATCAGGTGTTTCACCGTTCATGCCGTCGTCGTTTATGCCCATCAAAGCTCCTTCTTATCTCCTTGAATATCGATTCAAAATTTTCGCAATGGAAGCGATTCGGCCCTTTTGTCATCGCTTAGGGAAAGTCTAGCGAAAACCTTACCTCTTTTTGCCTGATTTTCATTAACTTTTTCTTGAGGTTGAATAAAACCCGCGATCCACACAAATCTGAATCTCCAAATCAACAGAGTTACTGAACCTGCTCCATCGCTTTTTCCTCCTTGATTCATGACTACCTCTCTCAAACCTCATGTCAACACCCATACTGCACTAGGTTTTCGCAAACACCATCCGTTTCTTTGTTTTCTTTTTCTCCTCTTCTGAGATTTCGGTTTCTTTTTAATATCATCTGAGAATGATGAGTTGCTTTTAGCGAAAACACTAACTTGAATTTTTTAAAATTTTTCAAAAAACATTTCCATCGTTTTCTAGTAAAAACAAGTTACCTGCACAGGTCTGTGACTCATGAAGGCCTTTCAAAAATTTCGCGACCCATTCTTGGGGTGAAAAAAATTCCTGTGCACTGCATCTGGCTGGTACTTCAAAAAGTAACTATTTAGCTCCTCCTTCCCCTTTATTAAATTTATCAGGATACTACCAGTATTTTCTGACAATATTCCCAAAAAAATTATAAAGCACTAGCAACATTTGAGCCAGTGGCATACCGAGCCCCCCCCCCCCGAGAACAGGTCGCGAAATTTTTGAAAATTACTTACATGGGTTATAAAATTGTGCAAATGACTTGTCTGCAGTGTAAATAATCAAAATAATTTTCAAAATTTACATTTAAAAAATTTCGGAGTGCGTGGCTGACGCCACGCACCTTCATCGGAAAAAATTTCTCGTCGTGCTTCCCCCTCCCCCCCCCCCCCGAGCCGAAATCCTGGGTACACCACTGATTTGAGCTTATAGTAGGTCGAACTTATTATATCGAACCACATGCAGCACATGTAGGCTGACGAGATTTTCTGAAATTTCTTTTCTCCGAGTTTCATAAAGATTTTTTTATAAGAGCTTCAAATTATATTTATATTCACTTCTTGTATTTTTTGTGGTATTTTTTTTCACAAGTGCAAATTTAATCCAAACAAAGAAGACTACTGCTTACATGTTTCTTGAGAGTTTAGAGTCCTAGATGTGCCGACTTTAGTCTTATCAGTTCAGAGGAGTTCTGCCTTATTGAGATGCGATACATGCCGTCATGTGCTTATAGCTGAGGTTTTCTTAATGGGTCTGACATTATAAAAGTAGTTGTTTACTGTTTCCTCCTCAATGTGTCTATATTCGCTCTGGATTTCTACGCAGAATCTTCTTATTGTGAAGAAATCACTTTCCATCATTTGAAGTTTCTTCATTTCGGAATGGTATGAAATTTTTCTACATTACTTTCTCTTTTTGTAATTTCAAAGAAAAAATGTGACTTTTTGGGCTGGGTAGGATTATTCTCAAATTTTTGAGTCAGTCGAAAAATACCGAATAGCTAACGCTAAGATAATAGAACATGTGTCTCATAACTTTTAACAAAATAAATTTTGGTTGGCAGTTTTCGAACAGTGAGTCATGGTAGTGTGGATATATATATACATTTTTCGGCAAGTTTTTTGTCCTGCAAATCTTATGTCGTCTACTATCATATTTTATTACCAATATGATTAGTGTCTTGGGCGGTTTCCTTTGAAACGCCTCTGTTGTGTAACATACTATCTGTCGAAATGGTGATGTATGTGGCCGTAAAGTTGATGAATAATTTGAGAAAATTGGTCTTTCTTTGACGAACAGTTTACTACAGTTTCCAATTCAAGTTTTGCGCTCTCTTTCCATTTACAACACATTTTTACCAAGTTTTAGGGCAACTGGTTGGGTTTCGAAGACGATTTTCGCTCTAGAAATTTCTATAACTTATTTAACACAAATCAGAATAGAAGGTAAACGAAAAAATACACTCCAACCTGTGACCAAAAACATTCTGATACTGAAAATTGCAGTTTCTGACTGCTAAACCGTGTAGTCTACTTGTTTCGCAACTGACGTCTGCGATTGCACAATCCATCCACATAACGCGAAGTTATGTTTTTGCCTCGCGACGCAGATCTGGGATGAATATGCCTCTGAGTCGGTCGTTTTTTGCATCTCTACGCAGACTGCGACTTGGGTTGGATTTAACAGAAGATGTACGCATTGCAATTTATGAAATCAAGATTCAACGCGCAATGTTGATGTTGTCTGCATTTGCACCAAAATGGCTCGATTGTAGGTATAAATCCAGCCGCACAAAGACGTTGAGAATTAAAAGAATTACGGTAATCGCTACATGAATAAACGTGACATAAAATCCTCAAAAGTCAACGGCTCAACCGTTTAAGGAGGGGAAGGGGGAAAGGGGGTGGGTTGCAAGTCTTTTGAAAAGTGACATGTGCTATGAAATCATGCAAGTATGCCTATGTTTTTGCGAAACCAAAAAATTGAAAATCTTGAACCAATACAGCTCTGAGAAAAACTTTTCGGGGTGCGGCTAGCGCCATGCTTCCTTGTTCTAAAAACTCGGGGCTACAAGTGCTCCAAAAATTTAAAAAATGTAATTTTTCGGAAAGCATGGCTAATGCCACTTTTCTTTAATCAAAAACAATTTTCTCTTTCTTGGAAAAATGTTATAGTTAACTGTATGGAATCGAGCGGGCTGAACGCCCGCGAGCGCGTCTTTTGCGGGCTAACATTGGTATTGGCGCGCATGAGTTATCATAGCGTCCATACTCGGCAGCCGCGTTGCAGCACGCTCACGTGCGTCTAGCTTATAGAGACCCGGGCGATTTCGTGCAGTCGACTTTAGTTAGACCTCCACTACTACAAGCTGTTAGTCCCAGTATGAAAAGATGGCAATTTTTTTCGACAAAGCTGTTATGTCCGTGTTTTTGCTATTTCCTATTCACCATTTCTCGTTATGAGGTGCAGCACTTTATCGAAATGAAGTGCTTACACATAGCTTTCAAAAAGTCCATGCAAATATATTGACGCCTCGACAAATGCATCATCGATTCTGCCCGAAAATTATACAACCCGCTGCCAACACACACAGCTTTCCGGTGAGCGAAGCTAACATCGTACCACGGCAGCACTTTCAGTATCATGTTTTTGTTTACCCAGCGGGTCCTCGAGGACTACCTGCTTCCCACTGGGTAATGAAAACTACCTTGGTAATTGATATTCGCAATGATGACATATTCTCACAATGATGTGATGTTTTGAGATGCTCAACAGTCTTGAATTTTGTATCAATACCACCTTTGAAACATTTTTGTTGATTTTCTTCTTAGAGGTGCAGCAGAGCTGGATTTTTTTGAATCAAAACTTTGTTTTATTTATATTTATATTTATATTTATATTTATATTTATAAAATACATTACAATTGTAATGCGCCATTCAAAAAGAAAACCATTCGGAAAAGAGAGTAAGATATGAAATATGAGTATAAAATTTAAAAAAACCTGAGCTTTTTAAACCGTAATTTTATTATGAGTGCATTACAAAGACCATGTTCATGTTTTTGTTCCAACTTCTCTTAATTTTTCAAATTTTCCGCAATTTGCGATTTTTCAAAAAAGGCGGCTATGCTGGATGTATAACAGTCAAACTCTCCTCTTGTGTGGCTTGCTTTATGGCATCAAATTGATAAATCTTAAAAATACAAAATTTTTTTCAATCAAAGCAAAATGAGCAGAATTTTTTTGATTTAATCAATCACTCAGTTTTTTTTGAATTTGTACTGCAATCATATCTTTTTTCGGATATGAAATTGTTGATAGTCCATGGTACGAGGACGTTTACTTGAGTATCTTGTTAAGGTTACGGTATCCTTTTGGTGTTCAAAATAGTTTAACCAAATATCTTCCAAATTGCCCATAATTTGTCCTATCAAGTGCAAATCTATACTACGATTGGACAAGGTATATTTTGAACGATGAGCAACCAAAACACCGAAAACTAAATACTAAATGAATATTTTGTATTTTATTTCTCTACTAAAAAATAGCATAAGTATAAGGATAATTTCATAGAGGAATATTGGCAATGCTTCTGCTTTCCTCCCTCCCCATTTCGCTAAATTCTCATTTCTTTCTCTTATGAATTCTTTCCCCCACACCCCGGTGAGCCCATAGTTTTTTACTTCCTTGTGTTCACGCATGGCTGCTGCCAAATCTCACCTAGCTGGCCTTATTCCCTATGTCCTTTTTCGCTCTAAAGGTTTATTCAGGGCATACATGAGTTTGACTGAATTCTTCCCTACCCGCTACATGTTTCTGAATTTCTCGGAAGAATTTTTTTGTTTCTCTTGCCATAAAATGTCGTTCTATTGCTCATGCAATGAAATTTTTCCGATATTGTTAGTTTCGTTTAGCAATATTCACTTCAGCATAGTGAATATATGTAAAGAAAGATGTATGACGAGGAACCACGTGCACTATGTAATTTGCCACTTAGTGTAAGTTTTTTTTACATTAAAAATTTGATTACGTAATTGAAATATATCGAAAATAATTTATTTCAGGGCACAGTCGGAATTATGAGTTCATTGGTTCTATTGTCGCAGGTTCTCGCTTTATTTCTAGTCTGTTCGAATAATTTCTTCATTTACTTTTTTGAATTGCTCATTGCATTCGGTATGGTATTCTTCTTGTCACAAGGTGTACGGCGTAAAAAACCATCACATTTGACTATTTATATGGCTTATTTGGTGAGTCATTCACATTCATATGTACAGTGTAAAATTTTGCCATAACATTTACGACTTTCTGCGCAATATATGACAAGTTTTTGGAAATTTCATTGTTACCTATATGACCATAACCATTTTGGCTGCAAAGAATTCGGCGAAAGCACCGCAAAAACCATTGTTATCAATAATACGTGCATGAAGGGAAATTTCATGTGAATATTTCAACGTTCTGGCACAGGCCATTTGCGGGAAATGCACGAATGTGTGAATTTTAGCTGAAAGCCGGTTAAAGTCATTTTAGGGAGATCCCTATGATAAAACAATTATTAATTATACAGAAGTAGAAAAACTTCCAAAATGCGCACTTACTCGAGGCCACGCCCACCCACGTGTCAAGACTGTAGTTACTGTAACATGTCAGATGTGAATGGTCACGCAGTACGGTCAAAGGTCATGTGCGCCCAATCAAGGTCGCGGGGCGTGGCTTATGCTTGTGAGTCGTTTTGGCACACAGCTAAAACAATATTCGTGTATTTTATAGATTTAATAGTTCGTCAAATTTTCTTTGCTTGCATGGAGAAGAGCAAGGGGTGGAAATAGAAGAAGAGCGCGGCAGTTTGTGAATTGAACAATAGAGTGAAAAAAAAATTTTCAAAGACAAATATAGAGCGTAGATAGAAAGAAAGTACTAAAAAGAGAACGATTGCATATAAGAAAAAGCTTTTTGCCACACATTCTGAGAAAATTATTAAAAATAAGATTTTCCATTTTTACGATGGAAATTATGGAAATTATTGCAGGCAATCTATGTGTTCATGATGTTCTTCATCATATTTGGAATCTTGATTGGTTTGAGCTTCTATCCAAGCATTAGGAGGGAATGCGAAAAATACTCCACAACATCACCATATGCGGCAGCGACGACGGTTGAAAGCGACGTCACTGGGACTACAACTCGCGGAAATAGAGGTTTTAATCTTAGATTTTGAGTCATAGGAAAATATGATTTTTGAGCGAAAGTTGCTTCGGAGTAAATTTCTGTCATTACAGTACCGACGTTCAAACCGTATACACCCTGTACTCCTTTCCCCAAAGCATGTAAGTGATTGTTTCAAATAAAAAAGTCAAAAGAATTTGAGTTTCTCATAAAAAAATTATTGAAAGTGCTTGAAATAGGTCATTGCTTCAGCTCATATGATTTATTCGTGGCAGAATAATTCAATTTCGAACTTCCGCCCAGTACCGTAATCTCTCCAGTTAGCGTCTTCGAGTACGGTAACGGGCAAAAGTTTGAAGTTGAAAATCTCAGTCGACAATGAACCTTCTAAGCTGCCATTTAAACCATTTACTTGAGAAATTAGGTACTTGAATTCTACCTACACATCATCTATAAACATTAACAAAAATAATTAACAATTTTTGCAGTTTGGGCAGAAGTCTGGTCATCGGTAGCACTGAGCATTCTCAGTATTTTTCTATCAGCAATACAATTACGATACACTTTGATACTGTACAAATATATGCGAACTCGTCAACGACAGTAAGTTTTTTTCAGCCGTTAGACCAAAGAAATTCACCAAATTCCGCTTACAGACAAGGCGATAAGGGCTCTATGTATGAGTTCGAGAAACCTGAAGATATAGGACCAAGTATTTGGAGAATGTTCTTGAGATTAAGCGCATTTTTCTCAGTCCCTGGCCCAAGCATTCTTGGGACACAGAATATCTATCAGGGGGCCAAAAATTTTACTGTAGTTTAGAATTATTCAGCGCTTATTTTGCTCAGTATTTTGCTCAAGTTTGTCTTGCCATGTAAGTAGTCTTAGCTCGAATGTGATACTTAATATGTGCCTACTTATTTTTTTGCTGAATAAATTTGAATTTTTGTGAGGAATATGCGCTTAAATCCTTGGCGAATGTCCAGCCAAATGTCTCAAAGCTTTGGTGTCTTATCATGGTTGGCTTCTAGGCCCCCGCCTATTTTGTGTTCGCGGAGTTTTGTGAATTTTTTTGTCCACTCATCAGCTTAGAAGAAAACATTTCTATTCAGGGAACGAGCAAACCTCAATGTCAGCTATCAACACTACGTTCCCGGTGCTCCACCACGATACACGCCCGAATCTCCGTACACCATAGAAAACGCTCCCGCCCAAGTCGATGCGGGACCGCTCCCACCTAAACCACCCATCGATGGCAATGTGTCCACCCTACAAGCTGCCTCACTGGCCAACGGACCGTCTGGTCCCCCACCAGTAGCGCAATCCGGAAGCAAAGACACCATGCCGGGCTCGTTTCTTCGGGTAGAAAGCCCCCCGGAGTACAGCGAAGTCCCCGGACCCTCGGAGCGTTCACTTCCTACACAGCAAACTTCTCAGCAAACTGCACCACAAACGGATCAAAATCGCCTTGACGATGTGCCTCTGAACGATGGAAGAACTCCTCGTGTTGATCTGTTGTCATGAACAAACTTCAACTGGGTATAGATGTATGTGACTATTTTGTTTTTGATTCTGTCGAAATAAAATTTCTATCGATAGGATTTTTTGGTTGAAGCATGCCGTTCAATCCTCATCAAACCTTTTAAGCTCTATCAAATTTTTTAAGATCTTCTATCTTTGCACTTATCGACATGAATCAATTCTTGAGAATTATAGAGAGCGGTCAATAGTTTAGTTATGGTTTTTGAGGATAGGTCGTACGCATTCCGAACAATTTGGGCATTACTACATTCCTCTCCCTGCGATTGTTAGCGTCTCAAGAAAGATTTTAGTGAAAGTTTGCTTGAAAACCACCGAAACAACCACGTTCAAACTTCTGACTTTATTTCAAGAGTCGGCGGTAACTTATGAGTGAACTTCTGAGGCTTTTTAAATTTACCAGATTTTAAACCTTTTGAACTGGTACAATACCGCTCATAATTTGTCAAAAAAAGTCGCCGCACTCAGGCGCATTCCGACGCACTCCGCCGAAGTTCACCGGTATCCGCGTCGCATCGGAAAACCTCGCTTCAGAATAGACGACTGTGCCCCGGAACTCCAGAACTCAATGGGTAGGCTTAACTCATAAGATCGGTCACGAAGGTAATGGGTTGCTTGCTTTTTGTGAACATCGATCCAACCCAGTGGCACCGTTTTCGCTTACCCATTGAGTATGCGGAACCCAACTCTTTGATGGATACGACCACTCCAAAGGCACCGTTCGACTCAGCTTGACGAGAGCATCTTTTGTTTATAGAAGTTTCGCAGTCTTTCAGTCCATGGTAGGTGTACGGTAGGCAGTCGGTTTGGCCAATTTCACAGAGTTTCACTCAGAAGATTACTTAAAGTGCTGACAACAACAGTTACACTGATTTAATGCCGGCAGCACACTGTTGGAATACTGTAAGAATATACGGTAAACGTCGCTTTGCTCGGATGCTCTTGAAAATCTGCTCATTGTGATTATCCGGTGGCACTGATTGCGGTAATTGCATTCGTTTGCCGCTAGTTAACGATGTAAGAGGAATATACTCGAATTTGTCTGGAAATTTTTTGCGGACAGTTCCACGTGCTCGTTCCAAGAATAAGAGTTAGTTTTATCATGACATTGTGGTCTGAGAGTCATTTTATGCTGATAGGGGCTGTGCTTGATCGTGAAGGTTGGTAAGTTTGGGCTATTGCTCAGTAGTCTGTTTTGGTGGGAACCAAGTGTCGTAGGCGATAGTAGTGTCGATAATAGAATTATCCACAGAAGAACCCGGTGTTGCCGGGGAGCAACCTATAATACAATCGGGGGCTCCTTATATAGGTAGTAAGGCGGAGCTGACCCGTGCACAATCAGACTGTCCAGGAAATATATGCAAGAAAGAGGATGCCGCGGCTTGGCGCGGCCCCTGGAAGATAGGTGCCACTCATTGGTGAGCACTTAAATATAAGTTGGGGAATATAGCCTATGGGGAATACCCGTAAGCTATTAGGATTATAGAATTGTTGAGGTTGATGATACATAAGTCATCAACATCTGTACTAACTGTCCATGCGAAGTGGAGCATATCAGCTATGTGTCGTGCCCTGTTCAGCTTCAAGGAAGTGCTGCTTCGATAAACTGCACAGTTCGCTTTTAAACTTCATAACTTGTTTGAGTGCTTTATAGTATCGATCGCATGCAAATCTCCCGGAGGCTAGAGTAGCCAATGGCAAAAGAGTTTTAAGCGACATCTTTATTATATTTGATGCGTACAGTTTTATGCAAGATACTTTGTCAGAATGTTCTCTCATTTGCCAGGTACATGAGACCATCAGCTAAGTAGAGTAGGCATTGAGAGAAGATTTGTAGAGTTTCTATACGTAATGCGAATAAGCTGAGCAAGAATATCGTGTTGCTCGAGCAGTTCAACAGCGTTCCAATGAGCCGCATATAGGACGCCTGAAATGCTAAATAACGAGTTTTTTTCTAGGTTAATGCTATCAAAGAGGTCACCTGTGCTATTACATCGTCTTGATCGGCATTTTGTTCACAAACAGAGCCAGCAGCCACAACCAGAAAACAGGAAGAAGCAAAAACGCATGCATGTAAGAGAACGAGAAATGGTATGGAGTCGAATAGATCGGCAAAACAATGATACGAGAGTGTAGCGAAGTATGTCGTGCCAAGCATGCTTAGAGCTATGGACCATTCATCTATTAGTGATCTGAAATATTCATTTTTTGTTAAAAATGAAGCTTGGTGGTTAACAGAGTCAGTTTCGAGCGGAACAAGTGGAAACAACAGCGTGAGAACGCGTGTTCTTCACGCCAACGCCATGGATAGAGATCGCAGATAGGGAGGAGAGATCAGACATGGTCCTGGCACGAAATGTCATATTGGCGCGCAGAAGTGGCGCAAAGTCGTAGGCACGCGTTAATTTTAGATCTGAGTTATGAAGGGGAGTGCACTTAATTCTTTGCGCAAGTGACTCATGTTATCGTCGCAGCAAGAAACGCGCCGCACACGCACCGCAGCGCGGCACTTGCGTGCAGCTCCTGAAAGAAAATTAAGAACTTACTGAAAAGTTGAAAAGTACAGTAAATGCCCAATAACAACCAGGATATATCCTATTACACTTAATTCATAAGAAGATTTTGAAACAATCAGGTAGCGGGAGAGCGCTAAAATGTGATTAGAGCATTTTTTCTCTGCTTTTGCCGATGGTTAACACAGACCTAGGGTAGCGAAGGCCGCAGCCGTAGTGAACCGAGGTTTTACGGCCATGTTAGAAGTTAGGGCCAAGAACGAGAGCATGGCCAGCGGTAGACTGTCTATCAGGCCCTGCGTCTGGAAAGGCCTTCTTTCAGTTCATTTCGTCGATGAAGTCCCAGGCATGCGCACCTTGGTGAAACCGCTCGTCTCGACGTAAACGAGGAAGCAGGTGCCACCGTAGATGCCGAGCAACCGAGCCAAGCCCGTCTCGTCCATAGCCGGATCCAAGCGAGTATGGTCGGTTAGTAGAGTGAGTTGTAAGTAAATGACCCCTACCCCGATTTTCTGGGCTTTTATAGGGTAGCCCTTATCAATGTGTAGATGTTGTCGTGAAATACAATGTGTGTATCAATCCCTTACTGGCTAAACTGAGGGAAGTGCAATCTGCTTGCTGCTTCTATTTGCAACAAAGTGATTGCTTCCCATTTCCTACTGCAGAAAAACTACATTACCTCACTTAACTGATGGCTTTAATCCTACAGAGTAGGCAGAATGCCATTCAAAGCAATAGTTTCTAATGAGCTCTATACTAGCGTCACTGAAGCTGTTAGGAGGTTGCACTAACATTCTCGAATAAGCCTTTTCTTTGGAAAGACTTATTAATAAAAATTATATTCTAAATTCTACAAATTCAAAATTTAACTTATAAATCATATAAATTATAAATTTATAATTTATATAATGGACCTGAAAACCTAACTTAAATGAATTGTAAACTTAGAAAGAAAGAAAAAATAAGGCGACTAACCTAAGCTTCTTGGTGGAGTCGTGGAGATGCTTATTTTTAGAAAATGTTTTGGAAACTTTTGAAACAATCCACCCTCACCCTTCTCATGGGGTTTCCATTGACTTACAAGGTTCTTCGTAGCATTAGCGACTCATTCCTTGACAAATGATCAGATTCCTGTTCCCGTAGAGCATCAAGGAAATTACGCAGCTGGTCGACTACCCAATTCGGAAGTCTGACCAGGATGGAAATTACTCAAGCGCGACGTTGCTCTGCTGCCTTACCCCGTGTTTTATGAGGTTTCATCACTGAATGGAACGATTTATTTAAAAAGTGCAATATCAAGCTCAGACAGTTAACCGGAAGTTCCGCAGCACCTCATTTGGGAACCTCCGCAGGTGAACCGACGGAACTTCCCCAAACGTTCTGCGGAACTCATGGTCAATTGTCTGAGAGTGTGTCGGCTGACACTTTATTTCTTTGGGTGTTTTTCTCATGAGTTGAATGTGTACACGCTCTAAAGCTTGCATGAGTGAGCTGCATTTTGTTGTGTGTTAGCGGAGCTCGTGAAGAAATTGCCAGCCCGCACTTATTTCCTCTTGAAGCTGCTTGAGCCGGCTGTCCTATAGAAGAAGAAGCTTCGATGAAGCCACTTGCACTACTATGCTTTAATCCGAGAGTTAATTAAGAGAACTGAAAAACTTCGTCCTTTCGAGACAGATTGTTCGCATCTTGTCCTTTTTCCGCATCATCATATCCCTCCTTCATTTTGAGAACCACAGTAGTTGTGAGCTAGGTCCAGCAAATATTGTAGGTTTTCTAGATGAAAACAACTGGGGGCTTTGATCAAGCCATTCAAACAGCAGCTCAAGGTCATTCGTGGCCGGAAAATTGAACTCTATACTCTCGCCCAGTACAGTATTCTCTCCAAAAGATGGTGTAGTTCATGTACCCAGATGCTACCATTCCGATTGTTTAAACACTGCCCTTCATGCTCATCTCTTCTTTTCTTTTCTTATTCTTCCTCCCGCTTAGCCTTTCCTTCTTTTCAAGCATTTCGTTGAAAATATTCCAAAAATTCCTAAAAAAAAAAACTAAAAAAACGAAAAAACGAAGCATGTCCCAGGCACCATAAAGTTACGAAAAAATTTAAATCATTAATAATGAATTCTCAATATCGATAAGATCATATCATGCAGCTTACATCGACTTTCTTTGAAAGTCACTTCGAAAACAGCTCAAATAGTAATGAGAGAAACCCACTAGAATAAGTTGAAATGAAAATAAAGATATTTGATATTCTCCTATCAATAATTATTGCTTTCTTTGAGTGCGGGTGAAGCTTGTAGGCTATTTTTATCGTGAGATTTTGCATTATTCAAAAGCTTTGTCTTTTCAAAGTTCGAAATTCATTCAGGGCACTTGCTTCGCGACGTGTATGATGAATGAACTGCGTCCTTTTGCCTTTCGAAATTTTTTTGTAATATATAGACAATTTCTATATCAACTAAGGAAATGAAAAGATTTGTTGAGTAGTGATATTTCTGAAGTTTTACATTGCTAAAATAATTGAATTTTTGCGAACTGTCGAAACTAAAGTATTTGTAGTTCAGCTTTTGACTGAATAGAATTGGAACAAAAATAATTTCGCTTTTTTCATCACTATGTTGCTTAATAATTAGAATTATGGAAGGTACGACAAACAAGAGGTAGCGAACAGCTAGATATTAGGTTGTAACAGAATTAATGCAGGTTTTCCAAATTTTGAGTTTGGACTACTATAGCTTTTTACAGAAATAGTCAATCCGTTTCCAATAAAAACCAGAGCAATCAACAAACCTTTGGGAAATTAGTACGCACTACTCCGTCGCTGTAGCTTCACTGAGAAAAATTTTAAAGCCCGAAGACTGCCAAAATTTTTCTTGAAAAGCCTTCATTTTGAGAGACCATAATTTAGTACACAATGTAGTAGGATGATACAAACTTCACTCAATGTGTAGACAATAGTCAGTTGTGCAGCAGCGTTAAGCTTGAATTCTACGAAAAAAAAAATTCTGCTAGAAAATATTTCAAAAAATTTGTGGTTAGTCATTCTTATTAGGTGCTCTGAAAAGGCGAAACAGTCTTTTTTTTGCTGTTTTTTGAATTTTTTTTGCCACCAAAGAAAATAACAGCTTCCCGTTTTTTTGCTTTCAAATGTCCTAAGTCTATTGTTTCTGCACATGGCGAAAGTCTGCGACTGCTTCGCACTCGGGATTTTTATACGCCGCAGAAAGATAGCAGCGGTTGTTTGGGTTTAAATTGAAATTTTTCAGCCAGCAAATTTTTGAAAAATCTGCTGCAATGTGCGTTTTGTAGAACAAGTCACATACAAACATTATGCCAGTTTGCGATATATTGCAATTTTTCGCGGTGAATTTAGAGCAAAAAGTTCAAAAAGGGAAAACTTCAGAGTTCAGCTTCTCGATTTCAAAAGCATGTGGTCTCGAGATGAATCCACTACTCTTGAAATGAAAGCATGCACAAGAAACTAGAAGAGGAGTGCTTTCAGATGATGTGCATATCTTTCTAAGACAATGGAAACTTATCTTGAGCCAGCCTTTTCAAAAAGAGGTATGAAAAACCTGCATTAATTCTGTTACAACCTAATATTATCATTATTGTTCGCAAGAGACACGTCTTATTTTCAATCCATTTTCTAATTTTGAATTTTTTTTACTCTTTCTTAAGATTTCCCACAAATTCTTTACTTGTTTTACCCTACCATACAAACTTTTTCAATGATTCAATATCAAACCATTTTGCATACTGAGTTCTTACTGAAGGTGCAGGGAACGAAAACGAAAAAAGCTTTTCAGACAATGTTAATCACATTATTTCTATTCTTTGTCCTTCAAGGGCCTCCTATGTTTCACTTTCAGATCTTCACCTTCGATTGAATTATTAGTCTCCCAATACCCTGACTGAGGCACAAATCTTGAATACTCATGCCGAAATCATCCGTTTATGGCATCATTCTCCCACCCTTAGTACGATGACCACCGTGTGGTCATTGATCTCCACGGCTGCTTACTATTTTCACACGGCTATTCATTTACTTCTCTTGCAGCATTTTTCATTCAGCGTCTATTAGTACATGCGTAGGGCCCTCTAAGAACATCGAACATTGAAAATTCCTATTCAGGGCGAGATTCTCTTGTGTGAAAGGGGAAAGGAGTAGCGTGGGTGAAAAAAAAAACATATTTTATTCACAAAGAAGTAAAATCATAGTCTAGTAGATTTGTAGCTAAATAGTGACTATGCGAAGCCTGGAACACGTTTTCAAACTATGCGCTCCATGGCCCATCACGCGCATATGTTGTCAGCACCGCAAATACGCTATATTACTCGTTAAATCTATTTCACTACTTGAACCTTACAAAAAAAACAAAAAAACAAAAACTTTCTTTCTGCATTCAAAAACTATGGATTTCTAAGATCTCCCAATTTTTGTCTCGTTTTCCTCCTTTTCATTCATATTTTTGCAACTCCTTCCCTTTACTTTTTATGTTTTTTTTTGATGTGTTTAGCTTCAAATACGTTTTCTATGTTGACTATGTTGACTTGGCAGTAGCGCTACAATTATGTTTAGATGCTGAATTGCTTGAAAATATTAGGTTGGTCCGAAAGTTCTGTCCCATCATTTTCAAAAAATCGTAACTTCTTCCTATCACAATGTTTTTGCAAGAGTAAAACCATATTAGAAAGAGCAAATCATGTGCTTTCTAAAACTGGGTCGGCTGCTATTCATTAAGCTCTGAATGCAGAGATAAAATTAGAGAAAAGAATTCATTTCAATTTCGGAATTTTCAAGCAAACCCATTAAAAAATCCAAAAGTGTGCTATAAAATCCAAAACAGCCAGTATCCTAGACTATTTCATCCCCTCTTTCCAGCTTAGCAAAGTTCGCGTTGATCGAGCTTTCCTTCGGAAAGTTATGATTTTTTGAAAAAAAATGTCAAAAAATCAATTTTCTTAAAAAACTGATTTTTCGGCATTTTTTCTTGAAAATCATAACTTCTTTCAAAAGAGCTCGATCAGCGCAGATTTTGCTCATCTGGAAAGAGAAGATCAAAAAACCTAGGATATTGCCTGTTTTGGATTTTATGGCACACTTTTGGATTTTTTAACGGGTTTGCTTAAAAGTTCCGAAATTGAAATGAACTTCTTTTTCTAATTTTATCTCTGCATTCAGAGCTTAATGAATAGCAGTTAACCCAGTTTCAGAAAGTAAATGAATTGCTCTTTCTAATATGGTTTTACTCTTGCAAAAACATTGTGTTAGGAAGAAGTTACGATTATTTGAATATGATGGGACAGAACTTTCGGACCAACCTAATATGTTTTCACGCTCTCCTACTCAAATCAAATTTAGATGTGCAGAAATAGAAATGTTCACGTCATTAAAAAAACGCAGCGATGATAAACGGAAGTTTTATTTTTAGCGCAAAGAGATGTAGAAATACGTTTTTAATGTAA